GTTGCCCAGGCTGGAGTGCAATGGCGCGATCTCGGCTCACCGCAACCTCCGCCTCCTGGGTTCAGGCAATTCTCCTGCCTCAGCCTCCTGAGCAGCTGGGACTACAGGCACGCGCCACCATGCCCAGCTAATTTTTTTTTTGTATTTTTAGTAGAGACGGGGTTTCACCATGTTGACCAGGATGGTCTCGATCTCTTGACCTCGTGATCCACCCGCCTCGGCCTCCCAAAGTGCTGGGATTACAGGCTTGAGCCACTGCGCCCGGCGGGAGCTGACTCTTTATAGGAGTTGATTAGGAATCAACTAGGGACCTTCGGGCCTCTGAGTTGTGCAGTTTCCCATGGGGAAGCTGCCAGCCCCGGGGGAAACTGAGTATGTATACTGTCTCTGCCAAGAGAATGAGGGAGCTCCTGGGGTTCCAGCTGACCCTAGGTGAGCACCTGGAGCCATTCTTGCACAATCTTTCTTCTTATGTAACAGAAAATGCATATATGACTGGTTATCCCTTTTATTTCTCCCTCGGTAAAGAAATTGCCAGAACTGGCCGGGCGCTGTGGCTCATGCCTGTAATCCCAGCACTTTGCAAGGCTGAGGCAGGAGGATTACAACGTCAAGAGATCAAGACTATCCTGGTCAACGTGGTGAAACCCTGCCTCTACTAAAAATACAAAAATTAGCTGGGCATGGTGGTGCATGCCTGTAGTATCAAGCTACTCGGGAGGCTGAGGCAGGAGAATTGCTTTAACTCAGGAGGTAGAGGTTGCAGTGAGCGGAGATCACACCATTGCACTCCAGCCTGAGCAACAAGAGTGAAGCTACGTCTCAAAAAAAAAAAAAAAAATGCCAGAACTTCCTAGAATTCTTTTCCCATCACTTATTTTTAAAAATATCATATTCCAAGAGGGACCATTACTCACATCAGAAATGGCAGATGAGAAAGAAAATAAATTAAGTCTGCATGGTAGTAGCATGTATCATTCTTTTTTTTTTTTTTTTTTTTTTTTTTGAGACGGAGTTTGGCTCTTGTTACCCAGGCTGGAGTGCTATGGCGCGATCTCGGCTTAGCACAACCTCCGTCTCCCGGGTTCAGGCAATTCTCCTGCCTCAGCCTCCCGAGTAGCTGGGATTACAGGCACGCACCACCATGCTCGGCTAATTTTTTGTATTTTTAGTAGAGACGGGGTTTCACCATGTTGACCAGGATGGTCTCGATCTCTTGACCTCGTGATCCACCCGCCTCGGCCTCCCAAAGTGCTGGGATTACAGGTTTGAGCCACCGCGCCCGGCGTATCATTCTTTTTTTAAGACACAGGATCTTGCTCTGTCGTAGGCTGGAGTACAGTGTCGCAATCATAGCTCACTGCAGCCTTGCACTCCTGGACTTGAGGAATCCTCCTATCTCAACTCATAAGTAAGTTGGGACCATAGGTGTATGCCACCATATCCAGCTAATTTTCATTTTATTTTGTAGAGATAGGGTCTTGCTATGATGCCCAGGCTAGTCTTGAACTCCTGGCCTCAAGCAATCCTCCTGCCTCGGCCTCCCAAAATACTGGGATTACAGATATGAGCCACCGCACCCAGCCTATTTCTTTCCTTTTTATAGCTGAATAGAATGTCTCACTGTATGTATATAACGTATTTTGTGTATCTATTATCCCCTGATGGCATTTGGGTCAGTTCCACCTTTTGACTATTGTGACTAATGAGGCTATAAACACTGGTTTAGAAGTATTTGTTTGAGTACGTGTATTCAATTTTGGCGGTTATATACATAGGAAGAGGGTTGCTAGCTCATATGATAATTCTGTTTAACTTTTTGGAGAACTGTGATTTGCATCTCTCTCTCCTCTGGTTTAATCCAAAATGGAGAAGACAGTGCTGCTTAAGATAGCTTGCAATTCAGCT